AGGAATCTAAAATAGTTCTAGTTTCCATCTAATCATCTCCAAGTTGTGAACTTCATCATAAACGGAATTCATTCAACAAGTTGCCTATTTACCTTCAGCAATGTCTTAAATACAGATGCCATTCTACTTGAGTAACATTACTCCTTCTTCACAGGCTTTCAGTAACTGACATTATCACATCTGTATTTTAACATTGTTTTAATTAACCTGCTTAGTCTCAGAATGCTAGCTCACACAGGCAACTACTGAAATTGCATCCTCCTCTCACCACACTCCAAGAAAGGATCCGTGGAGGAGACATCTCAGCTCCAGACTTCTGGCTTCAAGATCTCCTGTTTTGATTTCCTTGTCAGCCCAAGACCACTGCCCTCCACTATCTGTAAATCTTGCTCTCCTGAGCAAAGCCCAAATTCAGCAGAGACAAGAAAGTTCAATCCCCTCCCTACCCATAGGTACCAGTATCCCTGCACACACCAACGTAGAAGCATCCCCCCAAAATTGTGTGACTTACATAAAAAGGAAGGCATACATCAAAGAATGTTATATGATATCGCAATGATCGAGCGCGTAAAAAACACACCAAAACATTCTGACTACTAACAGCTTTGGTTTGGGTCATCACGTCCTATTGGCTTTTATCTCTCAGTAGAGCACTTATTTCATTCTTATCTGTCTTGAAACTTGATTATAAGGTCTTCCAGAGTCCAGGTCTGATCCAAAGTCAATTTAAATCCATGAAAAAACTGTACGCTTTATGTTCAGGTCCTTCCAGACATAATACCAGGGAAACCCATGCAGCATGAATTTTTTGGAGCCTCTGTTTATGTCCAACAGCCTCTCTCTGTACCACATCCAACTGAAGCTCATCGCACAATGCCACACGAAGACAGCAGCTGACTAGCTGGCAATTATCAGCTCTTTCATGCTGAAAATGTATTTGTCCCAGAGGAATAAGGCATCTGCATAATTAGCAAAAGCAGTTACACAAAAATAATTAGCTTGCTGAAAGCCTGAAGGGGGAAAAACTGTAATTTTTGCTTCAAGAGGCTGACTAATTATATACCATATAACAAAACAGAGATGCACTGAGAATCATCGAGAAATCTAACATGGATTTTAACTTCATATTCTAGCTGTAAGGGCTGCTTGGTAGCCTAGCAACAAGCAGCATACTTCAGCATGCCAAACCCTCCCTCTGACTTAATGAAACACCTCAGATTACTATGCAAACCTCCCCCACCCCACTATGCATTTGACTCCTGTATTACTAAATAACACAAACAAAAAAATAAAAAACAAGCAATTCAATATAAACTTGAAGAAGAATTAATAGACCATTGTATAGAACAATAAGTAAATAAAAAACATACAAATTATTTTCATAGACTTAAAAATCACGTTCTGATTAGAGTTGATTTATTACATTTACTCATGGGATCAGAAAATGTCCGATTATTTTAACCACCTTTTCCAGTAGACTGAAGATTTTTCCCTTTATTTCTGTATTGGGAAGCATTAGTTAAGCAATCTTGCTAATCCCTGAATTACTGCTGGTATACCAAAAATGATGCTGCAGTTGGTTTCTTTTATTTACCTCTTCAATGATCTGCTAAGGAAACTTACCCCAAAGAGGAGTGTCAGAGCTAAGAGACTGGTTTTAGTCATCTTTCTTCTCCGAGCAATTCTTTTGCCACATTTCACCATTTCAGAAGCAGTTTCCCACCTGTCCCGTACCGCTGTGTTCTGCAGTAAGTCAGATTTGACAACCACTGCTCCTTCCACAGTGCCATTTTACACCGACATGGGCTTACAGACTGCTGTCTGCGTGAACATTTGTCAGTCTGCCTCCCAAAACCTCTGCAACGCTGATGCAGCCTGTGTAAATCTAGGAATAGTACTTGCTAGCCAGAGAGAGACTAAGACAAGCCTTCAAGACAAGGTACAAGGTACAACTGCACCACATTGCCAGAAGCCATCTGATCTGGATGAAGGTTAAAGCATCAGTGGTGCGCATGCCTGGCGGAGTTACAATCCAAAAGGAGTGGCACTAACGATAACAGATAAACTCTCCCATAATCAATACTGTACTCTGCCAGACTCAAAGGATTAACAAGACTGAGGCAGCTATTTCCTGAGAAATGCAAATCTTTTGGATGTGCAATATTTATCATCATCTTCCCTGGTGATTCTGACAAGTGCTGAAAGTGTCAGCTTTGTTCAAAAGCTGCAGGAGGTGTCAGGAGCACAAGAAACCCGACAAACTTCGCTTGTCTTTAGGCCATAATAAACTTGTGACCATTGGTGAAGATAAGCCTCCTCCACTGCCTTACACGGCCTCTAAAGATAAACTGAAAGTTGCACAGGGCTGTTGACACATTCGATATGGTGAGCACGAATGTTGTATTTGTGCTGCGCCTGGAGGGCAAGGAAGAAGCAACAAACGAGGCTACAGCACTATGGGAAACTGAAATAACACACCAATAAATGATATTAGTAACTAATGTTCTCATTACTAGCTTCACAAATGAGAACTACTTTAAAATTAACTCATGCAACTACAGACTTCTTGTACTGTTGGGGAAGATGAAAAGGTTCTGGCAGAGCAATGGGAGATCCTGTCCTTTCCACACCCTGCACTCTTTGACCTCTTAATACCCCTCCACTCTCCCCAATTCCCTTTCCCCCACGCTACTTTTTGGTCTCAATGCTCACTCAGAAGATTCAACAGAGGAGAAACGCTCTCACACACACTCTAGGGATTGCATCCAGCCACAGTGTGCACAAGGACAGCGAGACATCAGCAGATTAAGCATAGTGAGGAAGACAGGAGTAACAGTGTCTGGAAGCACCCAAAGCCTGTCAATGGAGTCAAGGACATGAGACAGGGTGTGGAAGGTCTTGGGCACCGTATGTGCAAGAAAGTTAAATCTTCAAATTCATCAAAACGGTGACAGAGAAAGGGGTACTAAAAGAAAAAGCATTCTCAACAAAGCCTAAAACTAGTAGATCCAATACACATAAATGCTTTACTTGCACTTATGAAAAATGCTCCTGTGGAATCCTTCCCTGGCAATTTTACAATGGATGGTTTGCTTTCTTGAAAAGCAATTACACCAAGAACTGTCTGCCCCGAAGACGTCATCCCCGTTATCCCATCTTGCTTCTTTTGATGTTTTCCATGGTGCCAGCAGCCTTGAGTCACATCACAGCGTGTGCTGGGACGTTCAGTCTTGAGACCAGAACCGCCTCTCAGAAGCCAAGGATTAGCAAGTGGTATCTCTGGGATGCGTAGATGCTAAAATCATTGCACAACGAAAACTTGCATTGAAAAAATTAACTCTAGTTTCGTGCTCTTCATTGGAGTTTATTCTTACATTTATCTCATCTATCTAATACTAAATACTCTTCTAATCAGTCAGGGCATACCTGATTTTCTACTAAGGTCACCTTCATTTGGATTAAAATCATCTGTAATCTTAGCTTGAATTAGGCTTGGTGCACATGAAGCTCCAAAATCTTTCCCCATTCCCCTAGAGAATAAACCCAAGAGAAATCCCACTCACAGTCATCATCCCATCACAGCATTTGTTTAAAAAGACCACGGAGCAATACATCTCACCACAGAGCACGAGTCTGCTTCCCCAAACTCCAGACAACAGCAATCTATATAGTACAATGATGCATCAAATTAACAACTTCTTTTTTTGAAAGTCCATTTTATTCCACTACTAGCAAAGCAAAAACTCTACCTTAGCCTAGCCAAGCAGAAAGCAGAGAAGTTGGAT